CACACACACACACACACACACACAAGAATGGTTAGACAGTAGTTGTTACCTGTTGAATGTATGTTGTCTGTGATGACGGAGATTTGCTAACGGCTCCATTCTGCTTTTCTGATTTACTATCGTTTTGTAAATCTTTTGAATCGGTGTCACTGGGAGAGTTTTGGAGCCGAAAGGTGTCTTCGCTGTCCGCCATGTCAGAGGGGCCTGTGAACTACTGCGACCGCGAGGCCTAAATAACAGAAGAAGAAAAAAAATCAACATCACTTTTTCAGTTCAACAAACATTTCAGTTGTTTAGTTCCCTTCAGACTATTTTGCACCACTTTAATAAGTACGTCCTTGACTGTAATGCCATAAATTCTTACCCAACCCTAACTCTAACCCTTTTATGATAACTTTAATCAAAAAACGAAATATACTTCCAAACACATACGATATTATTCCAAATCGCTACAGTAATATCCGCTGGTTTCGAAACGTTATTTATTTATACACTTCGATATGGTCCTTTAAAAACAGTGCAGTGCAGTATTTATAATTTTGAAATGTTTGCTCACATAAATTATCCAGGTAAAGGCAACTTTCTTTGAACCCAAACACACGCATTACATATAAACATTAATATGCATAAAGATACACAACAAATATGCCTCAACATATAGATATTTTTCTAATTTTTCCTTCATGCTCCTATCCAAGACAGGAATAAAAACATCTCACGGGCCTCTATTAGAAGTTTCTTTGACTCAGGCACAAAACCCCAGTACAAGTGTTTGATAAATAATATTCCGCGATGTTACTACAATTACAGCTACAACTAGACCATTCTATGTGTTACAGATATCGCAGTTATAGTTTAAACATTTGTATGCCGATGGTTTATGCTGTAGGGAATGTCTGTAGTAGCGATGGCCTGTAGTGCAACAACTCTAAATGAATCAGACTCAAATGAACCCGAAGAAACTGACATTACCTTAAATTCCGATGCAAGACAGAGTTTTATAAATCCCTGAAACGGTACAATGCGCTCGTATCAGTTCAAATATTCTCGGTTTGATAGCGAACTCCCCTTTGAATTTCAAATATATTCCAACTGTGTAGCTCACGAGATTCTGCTCTGTGAACCCATGGGTTTCCTCTATGTCCTCGCTGAGGCAAGAATCTTCATCCAGCAAGCATCCACGTGAGTATATCGATTAAAAATGCGAATCTTTCTTCGTGTGGTAGCGATGGACTTGCACTAATGGCAGTTCACAAGCCTTCAGAGCACAGCAGCCCTTATTCTTCCCTTTACTAATAGGCTCTATCTAGTATTCCTCAAGAAAACAAGCACGATCACCTCCTCCCTCGCTCTCTTTATTTATCCGTCCCTCTCTCTGTCTGTTTCTCTAATGGTCAAACCTTGTGCGTTACGCTGGAAAACGGAAGCGCTGGGACGAACCACGTAGGTAGTATGGCTCGGCTGCGATGTGGACACGCACTGCCGTGACAATATCGGTCCACCCACAGTATAACTGCGCCCCGCATCACCCCCACCCACCCTCCATTCAGAAGCTCTGCATTCTTGAATGAGGAGACATTTTAAACGCACGTATAGGTATAATACAATAGGTGCGCATCTTGTCTTGTTGTACCTCAGATAGCACACATACGTCTGCAAGATGTCTGTTAAAGATCTGCTGCGTACAAACATCTGATAGACGTCTGCAAGATGTCAGTTTTACATACATTCTAAATCATAAACATCTTAAAGACATTTTCTAAACGTCCATTTGACATCTGATTGGAAACGTCCTATAGACCTAGGTCTATTGCAGATGAGCAAAACCTCTAAAAAACATGTCTTGCAGATGTAAATGCAGACGTCAAATAGACGTTTCCGTGCTGTACTTGTGCTATATTTGTGGACCATATGCAATGATGTGTTCATGTGTTTTATTGTAAGTCTACCGCTAGTTCTTATCGAGGTTTTTATTAAACAGTGTGTATGTAACAACAAAAATGTCTTAAATGAACAATAAAATGCAGAGAATATTGAATTTGTAGATATCCTACATGCATGAAAGCTTGGTCTCCATTAATTAACGATGGTGATAAAAAAAACACTAAGCCTGAGAGTAGAAAACAGACACATGACATGCAAAAACCAGCGGATTTCATTTGATAGGACGTTTATATAGATCTCCTGTAATAAAATCAAAACTTGGACTCCGCAGGCCACTAGACAAAGAGCTCTTCAAGTCACTTCTTATACCACGGAGTATAGCAAAGCGCCAAATCTAGTCAAGAAACTTCCCTGAACACAGGAACTAAATATAGCACATGATAACCCAGGGCTTCAAACGCTACATCGTGCGAACCGGTGTGTTAAAAATCACAGTTCCGCCAATAGATAATAATATGACCTGTAGCGGTCTGTAGCGATTCAAGATCCGTCATGAGCATTAAAATCGTCCAACAGATCATTTCAATGCAGATATTTGATTCATAATCTAGTAATGAGTGATAACGAAACATTAACAGCCCTCTGATATAATGAGCTGGTGTGGTGTATCACAATCATTGCATCACAAGTGTGATTTGTGGTATTGTTTGTTCTAAAGAATTCAGTTTATGGATAGGAATGCTTAAGAAACGGCTGATAAAAAAAATAAATAAAAATGCGTTAGACGTAGTACGTATCTGCACAATTGATCTTAACCCACACATATTGTTTTGTAATACTTTGCAGAAGGTCTTGGTATATGTTTCTCCTCGTGCAGCCAGTAATATATGCACAATTTGTGCGGTCATAATTAGTGCCTAGGAAGACAGTTAAAAATAGAAAAACATCATGCAGACTGAATTATGGAGATTACTGTCCAAAATCGCTAGAATGCTCTAGAAAGCATCTTCAAGCGTTTCAGTACATACAGAGGGCATAAATAAATGCGTATGATACACATGAGCTTGCCAGGAATTAAATGTTAACACTCTCCGCAAGTTCTTCTAAATTAGCCGTCTTGTGTGGATATTTGAGTAGATTAACAAGAAACTGAACTATTACTTATAAAACACTATAAGAACAGTTAAAATGTTATTTTTAAATTTACAAAAAAAATCTTAAAAGTAATATATCAAATTCAAAATATTAATTGTGTTGTCTAGAAGTTTCCCGCCCGCTTTTACACTTACTTAAAAAATCCTTATTTTCTTTAAAAAAATAAAAATAAAAATTAATTGTTCAGGATTTCCCAGTTGTTTTTGAGATCTGAACTTAATTTATTTGGAATCTCGTGTGGGAAAGGCAAGATTACATTACAAGTTATTTGCCAACTTGCCTAGCACAAAATATATTACCAATGTGAGAATGCAAATATAGACTTGACCACTTGCTACTTGTGGCATAAAATAACTTTTCTCTTGAGTTTTTAAAACTTTAAGGTTAGGGTTATTTGTTGAATTTTACCTTATCATTATTTTACTTTGGCTCGAGTAAAGCTACAAAATATGACGTCTTTTTGTGATTTTCTTTTTCACATCAAATGGTAACAGTGTACGAATGTAGTTTTTACTTTCGTAAAACGGCATATAGGAGCTATTCAAGATTGTGAATTACAGAAAAACACTATTATTATTATTATTTCATTATTATTATGTATTATTATTAGTAGTATTATTATTGACGAGATTATGCCTCCTTCGACGCTCTTAGTTAATCACGCTGAGGCCCTGCATTATACAGTTAAAAGTGCACGGTCTGCTTTATTTATGCATTATTTCTTGTGTGTGTATGCAATTCCTCGTAGTCATTGTTTAATTGGATGTTATTTGAGCACTTTCAAGTCGCTGGTTTATTTTTATCACGAAAAATATAAACATTTTGGTGCAATAAACTTGTCTAAAACGACTTATGAAACTTTTGTCAGTATCTTGGCTTTAATTTGATTGAACAATGCAGGCTAAATGCATGGAAGAGAGTGGTCGCCTTGCCCGTCTCATCCTCAAAGGTAAAAAGAACAGAGTTTCACCCACCTTAAATTCAGAAAATTCAGTACATGTTACACCCGTATTCTGCACATATAAATAAGATAATATGCTGATGTATTAATGATGGATATTTATATATCCCTCTTTAATATATAATGTGGTCTACGAGACTGTATTTTTTAATATTTTCATACATTTAACAATAATAAATAAGAAAGGAACAATTAAGTAAAGCCAGTAACCCCCAGTATACCGCCAGTATATATTTTTTAATTTTGTTTAGCACTACTTTATCTTGCCCAAGACAAGTAAAGTTTCCCGTGTTAATGTCAGTGTATTTTATTTTTATGCAATACATTAATCTACATTAACATATTCAATCTACATTACTTTAACAAAGCATCGCGATGGTTCATTAAACATTAGAAGAGCAATATGTGAAACGCATCTTTATATTATCTCACATATGTTTGCATTCACGTATTATTACACACATATAAATACACGGATATATAAATAAAATAATACTACAACAAAAACGTATTTAATACTACCACTAGTAGTAGTAGCAGTAGTAGCAGTAGTAGTAATAATTTATTGGAAAATCATAATAAATACTGAATAATAATAATAATAAAACTTTAATTTAGGCAATACACTTGGTTCCTCAATGGATTAATATATAAATTGATTAGCTGTGTGTGTGTGTGAGAATTGTTTCGTTAACTATCTTGAATGAGCACAGGGGCAGGATATGAAACAAATATGTGAATTTGTTTCCGTGCTGTACTTGTGCTATATTTGTGGACCATATGCAATGATGTGTTCATGTGTTTTATTGTAAGTCTACCGCTAGTTCTTATCGAGGTTTTTATTAAACAGTGTGTATGTAACAACAAAAATGTCTTAAATGAACAATAAAATGCAGAGAATATTGAATTTGTAGATATCCTACATGCATGAAAGCTTGGTCTCCATTAATTAACGATGGTGATAAAAAAAAAACACTAAGCCTGAGAGTAGAAAACAGGCACATGACATGCAAAAACCAGCGGATTTCATTTGATAGGACGTTTATATAGATCTCCTGTAATAAAATCAAAACTTGGACTCCGCAGGCCACTAGACAAAGAGCTCTTCAAGTCACTTCTTATACCACGGAGTATAGCAAAGCGCCAAATCTAGTCAAGAAACTTCCCTGAACACAGGAACTAAATATAGCACATGATAACCCAGGGCTTCAAACGCTACATCGTGCGAACCGGTGTGTTAAAAATCACAGTTCCGCCAATAGATAATAATATGACCTGTAGCGGTCTGTAGCGATTCAAGATCCGTCATGAGCATTAAAATCGTCCAACAGATCATTTCAATGCAGATATTTGATTCATAATCTAGTAATGAGTGATAACGAAACATTAACAGCCCTCTGATATAATGAGCTGGTGTGGTGTATCACAATCATTGCATCACAAGTGTGATTTGTGGTATTGTTTGTTCTAAAGAATTCAGTTTATGGATAGGAATGCTTAAGAAACGGCTGATAAAAAAAATAAATAAAAATGCGTTAGACGTAGTACGTATCTGCACAATTGATCTTAACCCACACATATTGTTTTGTAATACTTTGCAGAAGGTCTTGGTATATGTTTCTCCTCGTGCAGCCAGTAATATATGCACAATTTGTGCGGTCATAATTAGTGCCTAGGAAGACAGTTAAAAATAGAAAAACATCATGCAGACTGAATTATGGAGATTACTGTCCAAAATCGCTAGAATGCTCTAGAAAGCATCTTCAAGCGTTTCAGTACATACAGAGGGCATAAATAAATGCGTATGATACACATGAGCTTGCCAGGAATTAAATGTTAACACTCTCCGCAAGTTCTTCTAAATTAGCCGTCTTGTGTGGATATTTGAGTAGATTAACAAGAAACTGAACTATTACTTATAAAACACTATAAGAACAGTTAAAATGTTATTTTTAAATTTACAAAAAAAATCTTAAAAGTAATATATCAAATTCAAAATATTAATTGTGTTGTCTAGAAGTTTCCCGCCCGCTTTTA